AAGAAGCCATCTGCTTTAAACGGTTTCTCATTCCTACTCCCCCCCCCTTTTCAATGGCAGAATCGCAGCATGTAAAAAACCATTTTTTTTCCTTTAAACTAGCCATTTAATAATCTATTATAAAATCTTGCGAGGATTCTGACAGAAGGGGATGATCCATAGCAAACTGATGGACTCAATTACAGCAGTGATGGGTGCACTGTTGGAAGACCTGAAGGACCAAGTTGGGGACAGATCATCCTGGAGAAGGTTTATCTATGTAGTCACTAAGAGTTAGCTCTGACTTGAAGGCACATAATCAAGAAAGCTACAGAGGAATATAGTAAATGGTGTTGCTATAAACTAGATTTAGCTATATTCTTTCTTTAAATCACTCCTTTAATTTCTTTGGATGACTACTTCTTACTCTTTTACTTTGCATAACATTGCTTATCCCCCAAAAGAAATAGCAATGATAGATGTGTATCTATGTATCTATCTATCTCACCTTAAGAGGTTTCATTCTGGTATTTTATTTCATTTGACAGTCCGCAAATTCTTCCCTCAGGAAACAAGTGCAATGCAGAAATATAGGATGAGAGATACCTGGCCCAGTAACTGAACTTGTGAAACTTGCAGCTATACAAGTAAGAATTCCACTCTCTTGTACATCTTGACTACTGTGTTAAGTTCTGAGGAACTGTACTTGAAGGATTTAGACAAATTGGTCTACGTTCACAAAATAGCAGTGAGCATGATCAAGTGGTTTGAAACCAAGTCATATGAAGAGAGGCTGAATAAACTGAGAAAGTTTTACTTGCAGAAAAAAAACGGGAAGCTAACACAGGTTGTCATACAGAAGGAGTTCAAGAGATTAGTCTTTAAGACAGGATCTTAAAGGAAGATTCTGGTTGAACATTAGGAAAAAAAAATATTTTGAACAGTAAGAGCAATTTGAAAGGAGAACCGATTACCTAGAAAAGTAATGGATGTATTAAAGCAAAGGCTAGATGGTGTTTGGATTTACTTTGGATTTTTGTCCTGAGTAGGAGATTGGACTCTCTGGCCCCTTCCAACTCTATGATTCTAAGCCAGATCTGATGAGCTAATGAAAGAGTGAAAACAAATCACAGTAGTGCAAATGAGATGGACAGAAAATGTAATTCCTCTAAGGAAAATTAGCACAAGTTCAATGTTACCTATTAATTAGACCTTTCACTGTTTTCTTTAGCCTTTCTAATTCTTCTCTCTTTTTGGCATCTATTGGCTCTTCAGGAATTCGCATTTGAGGAGGAACACACTTTGCAGCATCTTGGCTAGGATTCTAAACAAAAACAAAGGCAAACTTGTTTTATTAAACAACTTCATGATTAAGAATGAAAACAAGTATTTTTCGTATTGTATTATCAGCAATGAGAACATTTGTGCACAAACCTTTTAGATAACCACTGTTAAGCAATACAGATAGTCCTTAATGACCATTCGTTTAGCGACTGTTTGAAGTTACAATGGCACTAAAGTGACTTACAACCAGTGCCCGAAGTTACGACTGTCACAGCACCCCCACTATCACATGACTGTGATCTGGGCACTTGGCAATCAGCTTGCACTTACGATGGCTGCAGCGTCCCAGGGTCATGAAATCACCATTTGCAACCTACCCAGCAAGCTTCTGGCAAAATTAATGGGAACCGTGTGATTTGCTTAATGACCATGTGATTCATTCAATGACCACTGCAACAAATTTGTAAAATTGGGTCTGGTCACGTGATGATTCGTTTAATGACTGCATCGCTTAGCAACCTAAATTCCAGTCCCAACTGTGATTGTTAAGTGAGGATTACCTGTAACTGACAATTAAAAAAAAGTTTATGCTCCTGAACCTCAAACTATCAATGGCGACCATGAGAAATACACGTCACAATGTGCGTGCTTATAAGGTAGCTGGATCACTGACTGAAATTGGACTCCTCACCCATTCTGCTCAGAGTTGTTTACTCAATGTGGTTTAATTATTATTAATCCTGCCTTTTTAAAAACATATAACTCAAGCCAGAGGACATACCTAACACTCCTGTCTCCTATTTTCCCCACAACACCCTTGTGAGGTGGGTTGGGCTGAGAAAGAGTGAATGCCCCAAAGTCACCCAGTTCCTTTCATGCCTAAGGGAGGATTATAACTCCCAGCCAGCTGGTTTCTAGACCAGCCTTTTAACCACTACACCAAACTGCCTCTCCACTTGGCCACATCTGGGGGGCTTCAGCAGCCTTTATACCACCTTTCCCCAATCAGGCCTCCACGCTTGGCAAGACGGGAGCCGCAGCGGAAACCAAAGGAAGGGAGGGCACCGGTATACACACCCCCTCTGACTCCCTGGGAGCTGCGGGTTCCTCGGCTGCCGCCTCCGGGCTTCCCCAGACAGGGGACTCCCCTTCTCCGTCTTCACTTTCACCTTCTCCTTCCTCGGGGCTGGAGTCCCCTGAGCTTCCCGCCTCGTCCTGGCCCTCCTCCGCCGGGCGCAGGCGTCCTTCCTCCGCCCCGCTCCCTTCCCCCTCTTCGTCCTCCTCGCCGCTCTCGTAGAGGCCCGAGAAAGCGGCCTCGGACTTCAGCGCTCCCAGCACATAATCCAGCCCGTCCCGGGCGAAGCTTTGTGGCAGGGGCGCCGCC